CTCTTCTCTTTCCCTCATCTATTCTCCATCATTATAGATCTATTATTCATTTCCAAAAGTCTTAGGCATTTCTTCTCTCTCCATTCTCTTCTCTTCTCTCCCTTCTCTCCTCTCCACTCTCGTTCTCCCCAACCCCCCCTCCTGTCTCCCCCCAACTCCCCCTTCTTAACTTCCTTTTCTGTCTTCTCTCTTCTTCTGTATTTTCTCTGCCTCTCTCCTTTTCCTCTCTTTCCTCTCTCTGTAATCTTCTGCCCCCTCCTTCTTCTTTTCGGCCCAAAAAAGGGGGATTTTGACCCCAGGAATGCCCAAAAATGCCCAACCCCCACCGTCCAAAAACCACAAAAGGCTTTGATTCCGGACTTTGAGGGTGGGCTGCCTTTTCGACTTTTCTTAATTGGTTTTAAAAGGCCTTCTATTTTAAATAGAAAAAAAAAAAAAAGATGGGATAAGAAAAGAAAAAATAAAAATTGAGGAAAGGGGAAAAAGAAAAAAATTAGGGGNATATATATATATAATATATATATAAATATATAAATATATAATAATATATATATATAATATATATATATATATATATATATATATATATAATATATATATAATATATTATATAATATATATATATATATATATATATAATATATATAATAATTATATATATATATATATATATATTCTTAATATTGAATATTATTTCAGACTTGCCGAAGATGAGGCAGCAGGGGGAACTGTATCCAAACGATCGGATGCGGTTCGTGTCATCATACCACCGAACATCAATGACCCGTTAAATTTAGATGCTTCCTCAGATAATGAAGATGTTCTCACAGATGCCCTGCAGAAGCAACTAAGACGTAACAGGAGGAGGAGGGTGAGTCATAAATGTTATAAGAGTGATTCCTATAATTTTAATTATGATATTTGTATTCTATATAAGGGTAAACATTTTACATTTTGAAAATGTTATTGTAGGTTGGACAAAGTCATTATATTTGATGATTTTGCTTTTATTGCTGTATCATATTACACTTTCAGAGTATTTGAGGAATCTGTAATAATAATTTACGTTTTTTCAAACCAGAAACGGAAACGAAGACTGTCAGAGCCAGGGAGTGCCTCTGTTGATGGAGAAGGAATTGATAATGATGGAGGACCAGCTGAAGAAGAGGATTTGCAAGAGGGCATCCTGCCAGCCCCGATCCTACCAAAAGCTCCTCTTGAGGAAGCAATGAAGCCACTGACAGTGAATACAGAATTTACAACACCAACACCACAGAGCTCAACAGAAGCACGAAAGTAAGATTGGATGCTTTGGAATTTGAGATGATGAATATAGTTGGTGATAGGAACCTTCGTAAAAAAATTAGTGAAACATTAGTTAAACTCTTGGTGCCAGGTGTTTAGAATAGCTTTTGGAACTTGAGATTTAATTTTTTCTCTATACTTACAGAACTAATGCATTAATTACCCCTATGAATGGTAAGGTTTCAATATAATTTCTTTGCAATATCTAATTGTATTTTTCCTTATGAAAGGAATGCACAGGACCAGTTACACCAACTGGACTAAAGCCATCAACAAGTGGTGTCACTAGACCACCATTCAAAAAGCAGCGAACTAAGTCAGACAATAAGATTGTCAGTCCAGTGATTCCCCAACCTGGAGTGGAGCGCAAGAGACATCCAAGCCATTCCAGACAGTATACTGACAAGCCTCACCTCAGCCAACAGAATTTGGTCCCTCCCAAAAAATACAATCCTAAGAATGAACATTTTCAGTATGGGAACTATAACAAATATTATGGCTATAGGAACCCTGACCAGACTCCAGATGTGAGACTAGACTTTTTGAAGCGTGACTGGTTTGAGGGCAAGGAAGTGCTTGATATAGGTTGTAACATTGGACATATAACTTTAACACTTGCAAGGGATTTTAACCCAAAGCGAGTTGTTGGAATTGATATTGATAAAAAACTGGTCAATATTGCGGAAAAGAACATCAAACATTATCTTCGTAAGAGTGATGCTGAGGAAGCCAACTTCCCCAAGTCAATGAAATTGTTATATGGTCCGTTAAAACCTCCGTTACGAGCTGATGGCAGCCGCAGCTTCCCATACAATGTTAAGTTTGTTCATGTAAGTAAGCCTTCATGCTATTTATTTTTTGTTGTTTCATCTTTCACTGACAAAATCTTTTGAAAGATATGAAAGAATGAAGATTAATATTTTTTACTTTTTTTCATTTTTCAGGCAAATTACGTTCTGGAGTCGGATGAATTGCTGGAAACTGTTCGGCCAGAGTTTGACCTAATACTGTGTCTTAGTGTCACCAAATGGATACATCTCAACTGGGGAGATTCAGGACTTAAGAGATTTTTTCGACGTATATTTACAACTTAAAGCCAGGTGGTAGACTGGTACTAGAGCCACAGGGTTGGCCATATACAGCAAGCGCAGAAAACTCACAGTAAGTACTTTTCCTTCCATGCTTCAGAACAAGCATGTGCACATACAATT